CCAATTCTGTGGGTCATTCAAATAACTCTGAAAAACAGAGAGTAATTTCTTGATGAGACTTTACTGGCTAGAAAGAGGCTAGTGTGATGGCAAAGTATCTCTTGGTGTACAATTCTGATGAAGAATAAATATTTCATAAAGCAAATCTATCAGTACTCACCTTGAAAAAGTAGGCTTCTTTTTAAATAAGTAATTAGCATTATATTACGTATATTTTTTCTTGAACCAGTCTTTTCATAACACAAGGAACAAATCTATTCTTCCAGCATTCCTATCACCTTTACTATTTAGGTAAGAACTGAACAAGTCTAATTACAAGAGCTCGTAAATAGCAGTTCTACCCAGTCCTGAAAAGAGTATGAACTAAATCAATGTGGAGAAAAAATTTAAGTAAGAAAAAGCATTACTTTTAAATCCTAGCAGCCCCCATAATTTGTTTTGATAGCACTCCTCTGGAAATCTAACAAAACAACAGAACAATGAAGAAAATCAGTTTAGAACATTTAAAATAAGCCTTCCATTATTTAACACCAAATAGAGGATTTCTACATATTTTTTACGTATGATTTCTACATACTTTTTAAAAATAACTGGAGGGGCACCTGGGTGGCTCGGTTGGTTAAGTGGCTGCTTTTGGTCATGAAAGGCATGATCTTTATGCGTCCTGGGATCAAGTTCTGGTATCTGACTCCTTGCTCAGTGGGGAGCCTGCTTCTCCTTCTCCCTCTGCTACTGTTCCCGGTTCGTTCTCTCTCTCTTTCGCTCTCTCTCCTCCTCTGTGTCAAATAAATAAATAAAATCTTTAAAAAGAATAAAAATTACTTGAAATGAGTGCAATCAAATGAAAATTATGCCACTCTGAATTTTCACTTATTGTACCTAACTTCAATTTATAAACTGGTACATCTACAAGGGAAGTTAAATTTTTCAAAATCTACAATTAGCCTAACAGTTAAGAGAAAAGGCAAAAAAACCTATTCATTCCTCCATCTCCATGTTTTTACAGCCATATAAAACTAAATTACCCATGGGATGCCTGGGTGGCTCAGTCGGTTAAGTGTATGCCTTCGGCTCAGGTCATGATCCCAGGGTACTGGGACTGAGTCCTGCATCAGCTCCTTGCTGAACAGGGAGCCTGCTTCTCCCTCTGTCTGCAGCTCCCCCTTGCTCGTGCGCTGACAAATAAATGAAATCTTAAATATATACATATTCTCGTGCGCTGACAAATAAATGAAATCTTAAATATATACATATATATATATACATATATATATATATAAACAACTAAATCACCTATTACATTTTTTAGTAAAAACTAACTTTACAAAGTCTAAATCTATGTAATAATTAAAAGTGCAAGTGTTTTCAACACATACATTTCAACACATACTGTGCTGGGACAACTGGATAGTCATTCAAAAAGCTGATCTTAGAACCTCATCTTATACCATACTCAAAAATCAACTTAAAATGGGTCATATACTTAAATGTAAGGGCTGAAACAATAAAAATGAGAAGACTTTTAGAAGACAACTTAGGAGAAAATCCTTGAAACCTAAAGCAAAGATTTCTGGGCTGTAACACCAAAAGCAAGGTGCATTAAAAAGAAAAAAAAAAATCAATAAATTGGACCTTAAGAAAATTCAAAACTTTTATACTTCAAAAGTCACCATTAAGAAAATGAAAAGTCAGATTAGGAGAAAATATTTACAAATTTCATCTAATAAGGGACTCGAATCCAGAATTTACAACGAATTTTTATAATTCAGCTCATGAGATAAGGAAAAGATAGGAACAGACATCTCACCCAATAAGATATATGAATGGCTAATAAGTACCTGAAGATGTTCAATATCATTACTCATTAAGGAAATGCAAATTAAAGCCACATGGGACATAATTTCACACCCATTAGAATGCGTTTAAAACAGACTACAACAAATCTTGGTGAGGATGTGGAGAAAGGAGAACCCTCATTCACTGTTGGTAGAATTGTAAAATGGTAGGACCACTCTTGAAAATAGTTTGCAGTTTCTCAGAAAGCTAAACAGGAAACTACAATATGACCCAGCAATTCTTCTCCTAGGTGTCTAACCAAGATACATAAAAACATGTGCCCAAAGACTTGCATGCAATTACTAGTGGTAGCATTATTTGTAACAGCCCATAAGTGAAAACAACTGGTGAAGGTATAGACACAGGTGGCATATCCATGCAATGGAATATCATTCAGCAATAAAAAGGAAGAAACTCTTGACACATGCAATCTCATCCATAAACCTAAAAACACTGTTAAAGGAAATATGAAAGACTCCATATTGAATGATTCCATTTATCAGAAGTGTCCAGAGAAAAGTTTATACACACAGAAAACAGATTAAGGGTTTCCTGAAACTGGTGGTAGGAACAAAGATGAACTGTAAATGAGCATGAAGGATCTTTACTGTGGCAATAAAACTGTTTCAAAATTGATGTTTGTTCCATCTATGGTGACGGTTTCATCATTTAGTAAAGTTACAAAAAAAAAAAATCACTGAATTGTACATTTGGAATGGGTGAATAATATGTAAAATACACCTCAATAAGGGGGTACTTTTATTTTTAAAAATACATGTTCTTTTATTTCTTGTCCCCTGAAGAATTAAATGACTGAAATGTAGCAACTTCCATCATTTTTATTGAACAACGGTACTAATTCTGATCCTCGTAGGAAATCATAGCATAAATTAGAGGGGCTCTAACATAGTGTTAAAAATACCCTTCTGACTGGTTGCTCACTAGACTGGGTCCTCCAGGAAAAAGATTTCTCATAAACCAATGTGCCTTCCATTGGTTTGTATTTTAAGAAGCCAATGCCTGGAAGCTGCACAAGAATATATGCAAAAGAGATTTACATCGGCCTTTGACAATGGGCCAACTGATCTGATGGGTGTTTTAGTCTACATACAGAGTAGAGTAAAAGAATTCAAAAAGACAAACATTCTAACACCGTTTGAAAGGATGTAGGCAAAATTATGTAATTTTGAGAGTGTACATACCCAGATGGCAAAGGCACAGTTTGCTTAAGTAACTGTATAATATGGTAACACAGTAGTCCTCAGTAATGATATTTAATGACAGGTAACCTTCCAGGCATTAACCTAATGCCTGGATCTTCCTATATTCGTTCTGAACAGATTCTCTTAGCTATCCACTCAATTTCTGAAGTCTTTTATAAATACCCCAGGACTTTATCGCCCACATAGGACTTCAAAGACTTTAATAAACTTTTCAGGTCTTTTTTTAAGTTTTTATTTTCATTTTTTTTTTTAAGATTTTATTTATTTGACAGAAAGAGACCCTGCGAGAGAGGGAACACAAGCAGGGGTAGTGGGAGAAGGAGAAGCCAGCTTTTGGCTGAGCAGGGACACGTGCAGGGCTCAATCCCAGGACCCTGGGATCATGACCAGAGCCAAAGGCAGACACTTAATGGCTGAGCCATCCAGGCGCCCCAACTTTTCAGGTCTTTATACAAATACCACCTTGACTGTGAGACTTTGCCTGACCACTTTATTGAAAATTGTTAACCTCACAAAACTCATTCTCTTCTCCCTTCCCCCATTCATTTTTCTCAGTAGCACTAAACATACTACATATCTTACATACATATTCTGATTATTTTTTGTGTTCCCCTACTGGAATACTCGCTCCACAGAAGGAGAGATTTTAATGTGGTTTATGTTCTTTACTGTATACCCACTGCCTAAAACGGTGTCTAGCACAATGTAGGTGCTCAATAAGGGTTTTCCAAATAGAAGAGCGTCAGATATGTGGAAGTAAATAGAAGCTGATCTCTGCCATAGAAATGAATGAATCCCTTCTACCTATTCAACATGCAAGGCTTGAGGCCAAAGTACGAGTTTTACAAGGAAATAGAGGCCTGAGAGTAAAAATCTCCAGAATGCCTACCCAATATCTTTGCAGCAAAAAGAAAAAAAGCTAACGTTTGACTTATAATTCTGAATTTACAACAATCAAACGTAAAATATTAATTAGCTGGCTCTAGTTCAGAAGACAGGGCAGATTAATTAAATCCCATGTGACTCATAAACAGCCAAAAGGGGGAAACTTCATTACTTAACTAGTAACAAGTTAAAAAAAAAATTTTTTTTTTTTTTTTAAGAAGCCTGTTTTTCTACACCCAAAATGGGATCCCATCACCGAGACCTCAGCAAAGTATGTCTTAGCAGTTCTGGCCGCCTCAGTCCCGAACGCTCCCAGGTCCAAACCCAAGGAACCTCTCCCCATCCCAGAAGACTTCCTAGGCTTCCTTCCACAGGCCAAGCCCCCTTCAGACCTACAGCTCTGTTAAGCCCGGGGCCCATACAGAGGCCTTCCTGCGTCCACGCCCCCACCTCCAGGCCCCCGGAACCTGCCCCAAAGCGTCGGTCCCAGCAACCCCGCCCGAGTCCTGGAGCATCAACGAGTCGGACGGCAGAGCCTTCCCCGGCCTGGCCAGAACTGGAAGACATTTTACACTTCATCCTGGTTCTGCCAATTTCTGCGTGACCTTGAGTACGTTCCCAAGCCTCTAGGGGTCCGCGTTTTCTCACCGTCAAGGTGAGGACAACACCTGCACTGAGCGGCTGTGAGGATTAAATGAGATCCCACGCGAAGCACCCAGCAGGGCACCTGGCGCGCTGGAAACTCAATCACCAGCGGCGGGTATTACCCCGGCGCTGCCCAAACCGTCTCAGCTGGAAGGCACCCTGCCCAAGAGCCGGACCTCCGGTTTCACGCACCCGGGCTCTGAGGTCCCCGAGCGCCCCACAGACCCCGGGACTCCCGTCGTCCCCGCCGCCGCCCTTCCCCGCCCCGCCGCCCTCGCGGGGCTCCCGGGCCCGCTCCACCTGTCGCCAGGCCAGCGCCCGCCCGCGGCCCTGGGAGCTGGGCTCCCGCCGCTCGGCCCGGCCTCCCGCGAGCGGACAGCCCCGCGCGGGGGCCTCGGGCGCGTACTCAACTCTTCACTTTGCCGAAGGTGCCGACGCCCAGCGTGTCGCCCAGCACGTAGTGTCCGATCTTCACGCGCCCGTCGTGCTTCTGCTTCTCAGCCATGTTCGGCGCGCGCAGCCTCGCTCCGCCGCGGGCTCCTCAGTGCGAGTGCGGCCGCCGCCGCCGCCGCCGCCGCCGCCGCGGGCTCCTCAGTGCGGCCGCCGCCTACCCACAGTGCAGCGGGACCGCGGGGGGGGGGGGGGGCGGACGGGGGGGGCCCGAGACGCCGAGGGGCGCGAGGCTGACGCGGCGCGCGGGCGGCGGCGTGGGGGCGTCCGGGCGCGAGTGGCGGCTGCGGCGGTTGTGGGCCGGGCGGGGCGGCGGAAGGGGCAAGGAGGGCGGGGGGCCACCTGGTGTGCCGGGAGGGGGCGGCAGAGGGACCGCCCCTCCACCTGCGGGGTCGCCGAGCGCGGGGTGGGCTTCGGGGCCCGCTGTGAGAAACGGAGCAGAGCGAACGTGGGCGCCGAGAGGGCCGGAATCTCGGCGTGCGGCGAGGTGGGAGTGGAATTTGAAGAGAAACGGGCCTGCCGCGTGAGGAGAGAGGGACGTAAAGACTAAAATGTGGGTGTAAGGGAAAATCAGGGGAGGCGGCGGTGGGGAAGGGCCTGGAACGGAGGTCAGTCTGGGAAGCGCGGCGAGGAAGTTTCTTGAGTCACGGGCGGGGTATTTCTGCTGCAGGTCGTGGCACATGGAGGACACAATCCTGTGCTCTCCTCCGTTCTCCTCCACGTAGAATTCTCGGTTCTCCCGTCCTGTGGATGCAAGAGCCTACCCCCTCCCCCCAGAGCTCTCCATTCTAATTTGCGCTAAGTTCTGCAATAAAGTACAGTCACGAAATTTGCTCAATTGTAATTTAGCACATGCTTGTATAAAGTGTAGAAATAGCTTGTCATAGAGCTGCGCGAGAGGGAAGTAGTGAAAGAAACGAGGGAAACAATGTAGTGAGCAAAGCAAATATACATAGAGCACAAAAAGAATGGTAAAGAGCAAGGGCAATAGAAGGGCACGGTTGAAGAGAAGTAGAAGGGGAAGAACGGTAAGAGGAAACTAGAAGCATGACGCCCAGGCAGAATATTAAAAATCGACAAGAAATTCGTAATGAATTATCACTTCCCACTCTCCTTTCCTTTCTTCCTTCCATGTTGTCCTAGTCTTCAGTGTTGCCTTTCACGGCTTAAAAAGTATTTGCTGATTGGAAATAAATGTTTAAGGATTAGCTGAACATTTTTAACATTGTACATGACCCTAGAGTTTTCAGGGTCATGTTCCTCGAACAAGAAGCCTCTTATCATACTGTTTATATATGAAGAGAGAAATGCATTGATCAGGAACAATAAGATATGATAAAAGTTTGTTTTCTGAGAAGTGATAAATATACAAATGGCAAACAGACATCCATTCTTGTTTAGACACCAAGACAATCTGATGAGAGATGATCACAGTTTATAAATTATAAATATCACAGCTGTTGAACAGAGGCTATTTTTGTTCATTCTTGGGATCATCTTTCTTGCTGACAAGAAGTATCATTTAAGAATCCCTCTGCCTAGCTGGCAATTTGGAGAAAATAGCCAGTTATTTTTGATGATGAACCTTCATTGGTTAAGGGTCTCTCCTTCAGTATCCATTCAAGTGAGTAAGAAAACAAAATACCTATTTTTGATTTTGAGATAGAAGACATATGTCTGGGGGCGCCTGGGTGGCTCAGTTGGTTAAGCGTCTGCCTTCTGCTCAGGGCTCAGGTATGGATCCCAGGATCCTGGGATTGGGCCTCTGTTTAGTGGGAGCCTGCTTCTCCCTCTCCCTGCTGCTTCCCCTGCTTGTATTCTGTCAAATAAATAAAATATTAAATTTTTAAAAAGTAGCATGTCTGTTTCTTGTTCTAATATACCTTTAAAAGACATTGAAAAGTCTTAGATTGTTTCCTCGAATAGACCTGACGGCAGATTATAAACAGAGATTTTTAAACCATTTTACATGCTATCTTAACTATTCACTGTTAATTACAACTTAAGTTATTATATACTTCATAACTGTGATCCTTACCTAGCAACTGTGAACAACCGTGTAGCTTTAATATTATGCCAACAAAAATATGACACTTTGTTGATTAAAAAGTTCATTTAGGACGAATGGGTGGCTCAGTCGGCTGAACATAAATCTCTGCCTTCAGCTTAGGTGATGATCGCAGGGTCCTGGGATAGAGTCCTGCATAGGGCTCCCTGCTCTGGGGGAGTCTGCTTCTCCCTCTCTCTGCCCCTCCTCACAGCTCGTGAGCTCATGCTCTCAAATAAATAAAACCTTTTTTAAGTTCATGTAAACACAATTACGTCATTTGATTGCTATAAAAGAAACATTATTGCCCCCATTTTATAGAGGATAAAATTTAATTTTTCACTTTCTGGCTTTCCCAGGGCTAATCAGCTAAGTGGTAGACTCAGAACTCATTTCCAGTTCTGACTTGTCCTTTTGTTATTCTACTATACCACCGCTGCCAAAGAAAAACAAACAAACGTGGTGCTCTAAGAACATTTAAAATTTTCACAATTATAGTCTCATTCTCGTAGTTATTACTTCTAGGGCAAGCCGACAATGTATACTTTAAGCTTACATTTTTAGCTGTCTTTCTGACTTCTGTTAGGACGATTGAATGCTAAAGGGGTGAGAAGGGTGGGAAAGCACCAGTGTCCCTATCAGGGGCAGCAAGCAGCCTTTTCTTGCCCACACATTTCAGATGTGATCCCCTATTGCTTCACCCTACTCAGCATTAGTTCACCAGACTATGTCTCCTTCAGTGCCATGCCCCTTGGAGGTCTCACCTCCACTACCAGAGATGTTCTGGTAAATATCATATTCCCCTTTTCATTATTTTTCAATGATGTTGTACTGTCCCTGTGTTCTTTAATACCAATCTCTATAAACATTGCCTCAGGCGGCCCTTCAGTTCTTAACCCTGATCCAACTGTTACTGCTTTCCCCACCAGTACAGGGTTCTTGGGCTTATTTTATTTCAAATTCTCTATAGCAGGACCTGAATAAGAGAATAATGGAGTGCCACTAAACTAATATGCTACACTAGATTCCATCGATATTCTCAATAACCAGTTCCTTCAAGTCTTTGCTCAGAGTCACTGTCTCCATAAGACTTCACTCTGACCACCTTATTTGACACTGCCATTACAGCTCACCCACGCTCCCTGCCCTGCACACTCCAACCTCTTAACCCTTCACAACTGTTTTCTATGGCACTTACCTTCTAATGTACTATTGAATTCCGTTGTTTGTTATGTTTTTGTTTTTTCTAAATATAAGCTTCATAAGGAAGAGAATTTTTTTCTCTATTTTGTTCACTGTTGGATCCTTAGCCCGCAGAACAATGCCTAGCAAATTATAGGCACCCAAGTGGATTCAGGCTATGTGGCATCTGAGGTTTATATAATGAAGAGGACCTGTTTAAGAAAAAAAAAAAAATACAGGGGTGCCTGGGTGGCTCAGTGGGTTAAGCCTCTGCCTTCGGCTCAGGTCATGGTCTCAGGGTCGTGGGATCGAGCCCCGCATCGGGCTCTCTGCTCAGCAGGGAGCCTGTTTCCCTTCCTCTCTCTCTCTGCCTGCCTCTCTGTCTACTTGTGATCTCTGTCTGTCAAATAAATAAATAAAATTTAAAAAAAAAGAAAGAAAAAAAATACAAAATTGGGTATGGGGTGAATATTTATTTGAAATAAGAGGATATAACTATAAGTTTTTGAAGCTGACAAATAACACAAACATCCTGAAATCCAGAAAAATAACATTTTTTATGAGTTAACATCCCATATACCTTTATAATACTTGTTTTCTACAATTTTGACTGTACATTCTTTGTCTCTTCATATTTTTTAATATTCTTTATAAAGAATAGAGAAAGATAATTCTGTCCTTCCTCTGACATTATTGACCAAGTTTTACTTTTTTTTAGGATCTCATTTATTTATTTGACAGAGAGAGAGAACAAGCAGAGGGAGCAGCAGGTAGAGGGTGAGGGAGAAGCAAGCTCCTTGTTGAGCAGGTAGCCAGACGTAGGGCTTGATCCCAGGACCCTGGGATCATGACCTAAGCAGAAGGCAGATGCTGAACCTCCTGAGCCACCTAGGTGTCCTATTGATCAAGTTTTTGATTACATGTTTCTCTTCAGGGTGCCTATAGGATCTTTTTCATATAGCTAATATAGCATCTATTAATTCTGTAACATATATTAATATCTCATACATTTTTCATATATACTTATATATAAATGAATATTTCATAGATATATATAAAAATCACATACCCTCTCAGCTATTCCTGAGCCTAACATGTTGAGGCTGAAATATGTGTTGAATTGAAATAAACAAAATGTCACTAAACTAAAGAATCAAGAAATAAGAATACAGGGCAGAACATTTTAAAAAAGAAGTCGGGTGGAGGCACCTGGGTAGCTCAGTCGGTTAAGCGTCCGCTTTGGGGGGTCCCTGGGTTTTAACTAATTAATTAAAATTAAAATAAAAAAGAAATTGGGGCACCTGGCTAAGTCAGAAGAGCATGTGACTCTTGATCTCAGGGTCATGAGTTTGAGCCCCACATTGGGTGTAGAGATTACTTAAATTAAAAAAAAAATTTTTTTTAAGATTTTATTTATTTGACAGACAGAGATCACAAGTAGGCAGAGAGGCAGGCAGAGAGAGAGAGAGAGGGAAACAGGCTCCCTGCCAAGCAGAGAGCCCAATGTGGGGCTCAATCCCAGGACCCTGGATCATGACCTGAGCCAAAGGCAGAGGCTTTAACCCACTGAGCCCCCCGGGGCTCCTTAAATAAAAAAAGAAGTCAAAATTAATAGCAGTTTTATGCAAATGCATATTAAATACAAAGCATAATTTTCCATCTCGGTGCAGTAGTCATTAGTGAGATTGAAAATAGGCATAAGCCAGAACACACGGGACATTATAGATTCATGCTCACGTGTTTCTGTTATTGTTCTCCAAATTAAAATAAGAAAAATTGGGCATTCAGTGATTAATGAACTGTGTTGGTGGTGCCTTTTATGTATT